GGGGGGGGGAAGACTATAAAGGACAAGAAATCCAGTCTAATTTAATTGTGAACAGCTTTGTCCTCTCCCCCTATCCCAACCAGACATAGGGTAACCTTAGAAAAAAATATTTAGAAACCAAGATTTCATTTGCCAATATTTCCAGACAAACTAAATGCTCACTACATTGATGACTTCTCAGACTCATGCCCAGTACTACAGTAAACACTTTAAACCTCTATGTTCACTACAGTAGTAGTCCCAAACAATCAGGCAAAAAAAAATTTAATCCACTAGTTAAACTTGGTTTGCTGAAACTTAAAAATACAAAGCATGAACACTGAGACCAAAGCATGTTGAATTAAATCCAGCCAAGTGTGACAAAACATCTTTGTTTTATAGTTTTTCAGGATGAATTTTCTTCTGCACCCTGGATACAGCAATATAAAAAGCGTAACATTATTAATGAGAGAAAATTAGAACAAGGAAGAAGTTCCACACCAAACAGATGGATATAATTAGAGAGAAGCTCTGGGGTATCCCTATCAAGTCAGTGTAATCATGGCATTTGTGCAGGAAATTCCTGTTCGGATTTCCAAAGGTTAAAGGAGAACCCCTGAGAGCTCTTCCCAACTTTCATCATCACCAAAAAATTTTTAAAAAATTACTTTCAAGTTCATATTTGATCAAAAGCAGTAGTAAGTTCTATAGAAAACACCAATCCTGTTTTGGTAATGGCTTCAAAAATGTGTACTTTTTAAAAACAAAGACAAACCTATTGTGTTTTGGGCTTCTTTGTGAAAGAAAGTGCTAGGAAAAAACAAACAAACCAACCCTACAAAAATAACAAACAAATCAATAAGACTGCAAAAAATTTGTTTAAATACTTCCCATAATCAAAGTGAAAACTAAGTCATTTTCCCAGGAAAATGCTACATTTCCAGCATTCTCTAATAAATGCTGATTTCCATCCAAAATAATTTCTAATGTTGTTGGGTTTTGTTTCTTTGTTCTCTAGAAGAAAAATGGTAGATTCACTGACGTGTTAAATTTCGAGGCTATACTCTTACAACTAGAGATTCCAAAAAAGGTTTTCTGTCTGGCTTAACCTGTAAGTTTTCACCCTAAAAAGGTTTGGCAAATTTAACTATAATATCCGTAAACATACAGGCATTGCATCAGTAAGGGGAAAAAGTAAATGAAAGTCAGAATTTTTTATTATTGTACTCTGCAACAGTCTAGAGAAATCTGTAGAATGTGATATGTAATTTAAGGCAGAAATATTATTTCTTGAAATAGTTCACTTTTTTCCCATTTACCTGCAAGATTGATGCTAGCAATTTTCTGCATAGTAACATAGAGAAAACAATCAGCAGAACATTAGGTATGGCAGAGATGTATTAGACTTCACTAGATCACTTATGTTTCTTCAAATACTCAGGTGCTTATTACTTTACTTTTTTTTTTTTTTTATACAAGATTTGTCAGGCACTTTGCAGAAAACAGCTAATGTATTTAATTTCACAGATCCTTTTTGAAGGTATAAAGCTGATAGCAAACTAAGCTTTTTTTATAGTTCAAAATTCATACCTGACTAGAAGCCAAGACAGAAACAGGTCACCCTATGAAAAGGTAATGTGTCAGAAAACATTAAAATAGGGAATATGATGAAATTGTTTTGCAAATTCAGCTATATATTAATTGGAGACTGCAGCATTTGAGTAATACAATCACTTTTAAAATTAAATCAGATATTTTTTAAAGCCTCTTTTAAACTTCTGTCCTTCTATTCATTTAAACTTACTTTTCAGTAACTCTCCTGAAAGATTTTTAATTTCTCTGAAGATACTAGAATCTTTACAGCACAGAGTAGACATGTCTTAGAAGCTATACTACATGGTTGGGCCATGGTGAAAAATTCACTGACACACTACTGCATAAATAGTTGCTACTCCATCTTCTCTCTTATTGCAACAAGCCAAACTTTATTGCTGTGTAAATTTTTGCTGGCAAAGCAGAAGAAACGCAATCAGGGAACTGATACAACAGAAAAATAACCAAGAATAATTGGGGTTTTTCAGCCAGTCTCCCAGTGCAAACCCAAACCAAATAGTGCAGGCCAACCAGGTATCCCTCCCCATCAGCAGTTATTTCCACTCAAATCTGTTACCTCCTTAAACTCAGCATTAAGAGTCAACAACCACAGAAGAGGTGGCTGGGCTACAGCAAAAGAAGTATCAGTGGAGCTACAGCTTGACAGGCCACAAGCAGTAAATACAGAAATAAAAAGTCTGCTATGCTTGGGGTTTTTTTAACCTTTTCTCATTTTTTTCTTCTTCTGAGTAGCCTCTACTATTATTTAACAGCATTAGGTAGCAATGTTGGGACATATTTTTCCCTCTCCTCTAAACTGATTCTTGTTCAAGATATACTATTTAAACACTGGATTTAAGAGTACATGCCAGATTAAGGTCTGGCAAAGAAAAGGATGACTGGAAAAGGACACACTTAAACCTGAAACAGGCTTTTCCCCTTTTTACCCAGCTGAACCTGAACTTCAAAGTTGGCCCCACAGAGATCTTCAGAACTCAGTCTGTGAAAACTAACCTTAACGAAGTTGCTAACAGGTTTGTAGACAAGAAACAAAAGCGGAAAAAATAAGCACAAAATGTCAATACCAAGGATATGAAGTGAAGGACAACCAAAACAACACTAAATACAACTGGTTATCTTTTCTGCCAAAGAAAACAGACTTGTCCTACTATATCTTTGTTCATCTGTCCAACTAAACTTTTGTTCTCTGTCTAGTTTCAATCGAGCTTAAAAAAAAAAGCAGTAGCAAGTGGGAGATGCACACAGAGAGAAGGCGTGACAAGAACTTATCTGTCAAACAGCTCATTGGGCAACTAGTGACTACACAGTGGCAGTTCAATAACTCATCTCTTGTCTGACAAGGATGCTTTAAGGGAACTGTGTTTACTGTAGAAACACAGAAAATAAAAACCAGGCTTTCTTAGCTCAGCTGGATGGAAAATTGATCTGAATTCCAGGTCATTTGCCTAGTTTTCAAGATGACATCACAGCTGCAAGGAAACACAGAAAATAAAAACCAGGCTTTCTTAGCTCAGCTGGATGGAAAATTGATCTGAATTCCAGGTCATTTGCCTAGATCACTCTTTTCAAGATGACATCATAGCTGCAAGAATAAATTAAGTTTAGAAGAACTAAAATTGGGGTGCTTCACCCACTTGGATATTGTACTTTCCAAAACCCAGAGACAAACACAGTAACCAATACGATAGGCTTGTGCTAATATCTAAAGGGATTCTTATGAACACCTCTTTAATAGCTACACTGGTCTCTTTAATAACTGAACTGGTCCACCAGGATCCCAAAGGAACAGAAGAATATGGAATATGCAATGACAGAGTAGCAGCATACATGCAGTTCCTAAAAGTGCTCCGTTTGCTCTAAGATCTATTCAAAGCAAACAGACCTGACCAAAGCATCAAAGATTCCAGGACTGCATTTTGTACTAACCTCCTCCGCAGGTTTACAGCCATCTGGATGGTCTGCTAGCACCAGTGGCAAAATCCCGATACATTGCTGTAGCGCACACGTGTAGGAACCATGGAGAAAGAGATTGGCCTAGGCCATTCTGACGTGAACGCAGAAGCAGAAGAGGTCTTCCATCCACAAGGTCTTAAGGCTGTCCTGGAAGAAGAACAGAAAATCAAGTAAGTTCCCCGCTCAATTGTGACTGAGCTTGAGGTGCAAGGGTAGGGGAGGAAGGTTTTCCAGCATTTAAGACTTCAAAATCCAAAACCCTGTGCAAAAGAGAAGGAGCCAAAAGACCTGCTTCTAAAAAAAGGCAGCAAACTGAGCCTGTGAGGAAAACAACATATGCAGGGTAGAGCGGAGAGGTGGAACAAGTCATTAAATTTTTTTAGCCTTTCAGATGATATGATTTCAGTGGGAGGACTGCCTGTCCTCCCAAATAAGCAGTTATCTATTTTTGAGTTCTATATATGTCGCCCTCTATCCAATCATGAACACTTAGCACAACAAACTACGAGCCGCTCTTGATAAGGCTAGAAAACAGCCTCCTCAGTGGCACACATTCACATGAACAGCTCCCCTGACGATCATTCTTCTGGACTAACTTTTCCATACATATTCTAGTTAGTAGATGTAGGGGGTTTGGGGTTTTTTTTTTTTTTTTTACATTCTTTCATCTCTTGCCTACAAGTTAAACATTAGCATTTATAATGACAGCTTTTGTAAAAAAAGAGGTGTTATTAAACTAACACCAACCTGATGGTTTAGTAATTGGTTTTCACTTTTTAAAAAAGTGACACCTGAAAAAAAGATGCTTGAGCCTAAGTGTTATCTGTTGAAATTTTAGCAATATTGAGTGAATTCCTTCAACTCTCTTCCTTTACTCAGTTAATGCAGCAATGTCTGACGGAAATTCTAAGCAGCTGAAAAGTAAACAAAGTATCTAAGACAAAAAAGTGGATTTTTTCCATTTTTGATGCAATTGTAACTTGCCTACACTTGCAGAATATTTGCCATATTATGAGCTTCTGTGTTCTATTTGCCATACCACAGATGAGCATAATAAGTTATTCAGGTTTATTGCTCTACCTGTTCAAACTGTTAGCTTTATTCATTGCCTGTCCAGGTGAAAAAATATATGCAAAGAAGAAAAAAAATGTTGACACTATGATAACACAACAGTATGGAGGAAATACACAGTAAGGAAAGCTAAGATCAGCAGTGACAGGAGATGTTTGTCAACTGCTTATTCTGAAACAAATTACTACTCTAGTACTGAGGCAGCTGAAGTAAGTATAATACTTGGCAGTTTCCAATTTGAATATCAAAGTAGAAATGGAAAATGTTCCAACTCCTAATTTTGTTTTCCATTTGAGGATAGATTACCAAAATACTTATAAAACATACAGATATAATAGAAACAGTAAGCAGTTTTATACCCACAGAAGTGGCTTACAGTCTGGATTTTAGAAGAATTGGCTAAGGATCTCCCAGAAATAATATCAATGTTTACCAAATCTGAAAAAAAAAATAGGTGAGTTTCAGAAGGCCAGAAAAATATGGATTCACAAGACGATCCCAGACAAACCCCCAGCAGGACACCTAACATATATCACATGACTGTTACCTTTCTGAAAGGATTAAATATTAAGAGATCATGACATAGTTCTGAAGAGATACAATTGCCTTTATCAAAGCAAATTAGTCACAGCCTTCGAGAAGGTTAAACACAGACTTCTATGATACAGCTGACTAGGCTCTACATGTTGATTTTGTGTTGCAGGTTACAGTACAGTGTGGCTTATGGCAAATTAGCTTTTTTACATCACTTCTTCAGTAAAACTCAAGTGACCTACAAAAGCAGAGAACATGATCCATTTTTACAGATGGGGAAACTAGTCTATTACTGGCTATGTGGCTGGAAAATGTGGGAGCAAGTTTTCTTCTATCTGCCTAAGAGTTTTAACTAAAATATCTAGCTATACATTTGTCTGGTTAGAGGAAGACCCCTATTTTAGCAATTTTGCTACTTTGTATATTTCTTCAAAGGATCCGAAGATGACATGCTCTTGGTTCAGCGCTGTCCAGACACGGGACAAAAACAGCTCTTAACAAAACACACAAACAAAAAGCAAACAACCAGAGGAGGATACAGAGAATGGTCCATGACGCCATTAGTAAGCAAGGCACATCTACCAAGGGCAGATGTCCGCTTTCTTGCGGTGAACTTCCACACACCTAAACGCTTGTAATTTCCCTTGATTCTTTACTTTGGGTTACAAAAAATGCCAATTCAATCATTCTTCCTGCACACAGCATCTTTTCTAAATCACCAGTCACTATCATTACCCTCTCAAGGCAAATTAACTGTGTCTACATCTTTCTTGAAGTAGAATGGCCAAAACTGACACAGTACTTTAACCTTACAGTACAGAACAGAGCAGAAGGTTCACCCTCTACATGTCCTCCAGATTAAACCACTGCTCATTCATGTCACTACATACACACATCTCTTATTTCAGAACAATACTGCATTGTTAACTCTCATTTTATAATCCATGGCTTGTCATAGATCTGGGTGGGGAATGGGGCAACAGGAACAACTTAAACAGTTGTTCTCCATCTTTTATTTTTATGTTATTTTGACCTAAATATAAAGCTTTTAATTTATTCTTCTAAATCACAACCTATTCTTTCAGGCCATCTTTCAAACATTCAAGATACTTCTGAATTGCCATGCCAGCTTCATGTACCTGCATTTATTCCCAAATCCCCATCATCTTCAGATTTCATAACCATATGCTATTCCATTACCCAGTTAATGAACAAGAACAGTAAGCTGAAACAATTACACAAAATCCCATACAATATGCTTTCCCCTGCTGAAGGAGAACTACTGAAAAATACAACTCTAGCTACTGTTAACCTAATGATTTTACACACGTCCTAAAATAGCTTTTTTTATCTAGGCCGTTTCCTTACCTTGCTCTGTAAGAGTATCACATGTGGCTTTCTCCAGTCCACAAGCTTCCTGTTGCAGAGGAAGTCAGATTGGCTTGATCATACATTTCTGATCTTCACAAATTTGCTTCCCTAAACTGCATGTTCAGAGAGAGGACTGTCTTACCTCTAACTACATTTCATCAGTATGTTTCTACTCTAGCTGGATTGTCAATTATATCCTGTCAAGGACAAAAATTAAGGCACAGTATGCACACAGAACTGGCTGGTGATTTTCTTACGATTCCAACTCAAAACGAAACTTGTATTAGCTAGAATCAGGCAAAAAGAAACCAAGGTGAAGAAGATGCACTGTGCCCTTTCATTTTTTTGATGTAAAAACCTAAGGAACCCGGGGGGTGGGGAAAGTAATAACCTACATACACTTCTGATGTGGACAGGCAAGTGGGTTAGGAAACCTGGACACCAATAACAGAATATGTAGGCAAACAAAAAAGAAAGCATCTGCTGCAGTAACATTTATGAGTACTTAGATTACAGCTACCAGCAGGCATCAGCTTTCAATGCTCCATACCACTTACACTGCTACACAATTTAAACTGAAGACTACTTCTGCTTTAAACTGTGCATACAAATAGCCTACAGACTTCAAATGAAATTGCTGGATTTTGGAATTTGGAATCCAGGCAGCTTCTGTTAATAAGTTCTCACAATCAACTCCAAGTATTTCACAGGATGAAAGTTAGATGAGGATGATCCTAGGCAGAGATGTCCCTCGCCAATAACTTTTATGGTCCTTTTTTATACTCCACTACCACGAGCTAAATGTTCTGTCACCACACACACCAGACCCTCTGCACAGGGCCTTAGCTTTTAAAAGTGACACCTAACAACAAGGAAAGCTTTTTAAGAAAATGACTTTTCAGGGGAATTTTGTGGTTTTATTTAAAACCAAACAAATTTTAGTCAGCCACTGATATTCTGACCAGATTCACAGCCACAATGTTTCTAGAGTGCAAAATATAATTGTCTCACATTCAAATAATTGTCTACACTGAACAGCCTCAAGATTTGCATTCCCATTATTCAGAGAACTTCCTTCTGACACATTTAA